ATATATCCTGGAGTCTTTGATGGAGCTGAAGAATTTATAGTTATAGTTTTCCTTAGTTATGATAAAAGATAAAGTAGATATAAACATTGTACTTAGGTAATATATCCTTCTGGAGTCTTTGATGAACTTGAAAATATTATAGTTATAGCTTTCCTTAGTTATGATAAAAGTAAATATAAACATTGTAACGGTAATTCTTGTTTGATACCTGTTTTATGTAATTTTTCTATGTTAAGAATAAAACTTTCCTTTTTTATATAAACAGAAAAAGGGAGGTGATGTGGATTTCCTTCTGCACACTGTGATTACCACTATTAAATAAAGAAACTGCTTTGGGACTATAGCAGAGCTATAGGGGAACAGAGCTAGGCGGGGAAAACTAAACAGAATGCTGGAAGAAAAGATGGCAGAGTCAGAGAGGAGCCATGGAGCTGCGGTCAGAGTCAGACATGCCAAAACTCTGCTGGTAAGCCACTGCCACGTGGCGATTCACAGATTAATAGAAATGGGTTAAATTAACATGTAAGAATTAGCCAATAAGATACTAGAGCTAATGGGCCAAGCAGTTCTTTAATTAATACAGTTTCTGTGTGATTATTTGGGGGTCTAAGCTAACCAGGCAGCCAGGAAGAACAAGCAGCCCCTCCTCCAAAAGGGAACATTCTTTCATTGCTAGTGAAAGTACAAACTGATACAGCAGCTTTGGAAATCAATATGACAATTTCTCAGAAAATTAGGAAACAACCTACCTACCTCAAGACCCAGCAATACCACTTTTGGGTATATACCCAAACGATGCTGAATCATATCACAAGGACATGTGCTCAACTTCGTTCATAGCAGCATTATTTGTCATAACCAGAACTTGGAAACAACCTAACTGCCCCTCGACCAAAGAATGGATAAGAAGATGTACATTTACACAATAGAGTACAACACAGCAAAGAAAAAATAATAACATCTTGAAATTTCTGGGCAAATAGATGGATTAAGAAAACACCATATTGAGTGAGGTAACACAGATCCAGAAGGATGTACTCACTCATAAGTGGCTTTTAGACACAAAGCAAAGAAAATCAGCCTACAAATCACAATCCCAGAGAACCAAGACAACAATAAGGACCCTAAGAGAGACATAAACGAATCTAATCTACATGGGAAGTAGAGAAAGACAGGCTCTCCTGAGTAAACTGGGAGTATAGGGATCACAGTAGAGGGTAGACAAGAAGAAGGAAGGAAGGTAGGGGAGCAGAGAAAAATATATAACTCAATAAAAAAAAAAAAAGAGTAAGCTAACTTCCCCGGCTTCAATCACTCCCTCTAGCAAAGAAGGGTGCTAAATTAAAGTCTAAAAGGGTCCTTTGCAATTTAAATCTGAATCTGTTACCTAACTAAGTTAATTCCTGGGCCATACTTCCTCAACATGCCTGAGGCCAAGATTTTTTTCTTCACACTCTTACAACCCTAACTTACAGTGACACCAACTTCCCACCTCCCTACCCCCTACCCCCCCACACACATCCCCAACTTGAGAAAGGGTTTCTCTGTGTAGCCCTGGCTGTTCTGGAACTCACTATGTAGACCAGTCTGGCCTCCAACTCAAAGATCCATCTGCCTCCTAAGTGCTGGAATTAAAAGGTTTATGCCACTACCACCAAGCAGACATCAATACTTTTAAAAGTACACCATCACAGTATTCAAAAGCACTTAGCAAGTAAAGTATATTACCATCCGATTGCTTCTCCATGGTGTGAAGGATTGACTGCATAAAATCATTTTGTTTGTCTGAACCCAACAACAGTGAATCCATAGCTTGCTCTTCAAGAATGGTCAGCAACATGCAAATACCTGCAAGATTATTCCAGTTTACCAAACTGATGAAATAACACTATGCTAAATGTTTTCTAAGCTAGCAGGTAGAAAGTAAAAGCAGAGGGGTTGGAGAGATGGCTCAGAGGTTAAGAGCACTGACTCTCTTCTAGAGGTCCTGAGTTCAATTCCCAGCAACCACATGGTGGCTCACAGCCATCTGTAATGAGATCTGGTGCCCTCTTCTGGTGGTGTGTAGGCATACATGCAGACAGAACACTGTATACATAATAAATAAATAAATAAATCTTTTTAAAAAAAAAAGTCAAAGCAGAACAGAATCCAGCTCCCCTGTCTGCCATACTTCATATCCCAACAATAGACCTTGACATTTTTTCTAGTGTTAAATAGGTAAACACTGCTAGTCACGGTACAAGGTGATTTCTAAATACACAACTTGTACTTCATAAAACCTAAGATACCACAAACATTCACGTGTGCATTATACAGTTCATATACCACTAAAAAAATTGCTAACTATGATATGTAACTTTAAAGAATTAATAAAATAGTGACTTACAAACAATGCTAACTTTTCTCACCACCTAGAAATATTTACATGATAAAAAAGAGATAACAATCACCATCATACTGACACATCTACTTCAAACAAAGATTCACTTGCCAGTATTTGAAAACATACCTGTTTGGAAGGCATTTAGAATAAACAATGTTTAATACGATATAAAATAGTTAAGCTAATTTAGCAAGGGAACAAGAATTAGGAACCATAAAATCTTTTAATAAGGAAATTGCTCAGAAATTGCTCTGTGCTCAGAACACGAGGAAAGACATGGTCGTGGAGGAATGATACTCACCTAACCAATAGTTTTTGTAGTTGGTAGTATCATACATGTGCGCAGGCAGAAGGATCAGTTTGCCTTTCTCAAGCACAGAAGATGTGTAAATGTCTGGACTTTCCAAAAGCCCCAACTCAATGACTTTAAAAAGGCAAGTTAAAACTTCCTGCAAGTCGTAATAGTCATCTCTGTCCACTTTCCCCAGGTTTCTTGCAGTCAGAATAGCCCATCGCCGAACCTAAATAATTGTATTATAAATGACATTGTATGTTCATTCATTAATTCATTCAATAAACAATGAACTACACTAAACAACATGATATAATACAGATTTCAAAAGACATGAAAAGATTACTGCAATGTATGAACCTTCTTTGATCCTGATTCGAACAAACTAAATCATTTATGAAACAATCATTTTCATTCATTTAAAAACTAGCGGAAATCTGGTCCTGTGTTAATATTTTATTTAATATATTTATATTTTAAGTATTTGGTAATTCTTTTTCCATCTATCCCACCAATTTTTTAAAAGATTTATTTATTTTGTATATGGTATTCTGCCTGGGGTCAGAAGCGGGCAGGCACCAGATCTCATTATAGATGGTTGCTGGGAATTGAACTCAGAACCTTTGGAAAAGCAGTCAGTGCTCTTAACCAATGAGCCATCGCTCTAGCTCCCATTCCATCAATCTTTTATGCTCCCTTACGTTTTAAGTACGTGTATTAGAAGCAATCTACTTAGACTTCTGCAAACCAATTTTATTGGGGGTGGGGGTTCAAGACAGGGTCTCTCTATAGCCCTGGCTATACTGAAACTCACTCTGTAGACCACGCTAGCCTTTAATTCGCAGAGATCCTCCTGCCTCTGCCTCCTGAGTGCTGAGATAAAAGGTGTGTGTTACCGCCACCTGGCATCAACTTTCCCAGGGGTTCTGGTTTTTTTCTGAAGTGTATTTCTAATTTCTACTACCATACATAATTCCTCATGGGCTACAGGACTCTATCACTTACTACTCTGTGCTTCTCTTCCATTGCTGGCCCACAGAAACACCCAGTCCGACCACTTCACATCCTCTCTGAGGACTTTCCTATTGTTTGTTTAGAACAGAGGAAACCACTTCACCATTTTGACAGAAAGTCTATTACTACAGTTCTGCTTTGGTTTTTCAAGACAAGGTTTCTCTGGTTGTCTTGGAACTTCTGTAGACCAGGCTGGCCTTGAACTCACAGAGATCTACCTGCCTCTACCTCCTGAGTGCTGGAATTAGAGGTATGCACCACTATGCCCAGCAGTATGCTCTTTCTTTGCTGAAGGTTTAAAAAAAAATCTTTTCTTGCCATATTCTTGCAGAGCAGTCTTTCTCAGCAATTGCCTTAAAAGAGTGACTCCATTCTAACTGCTAGTGTACATGGAGCTGTGTATATGTGTATGCTGCCTCACCTCATGGTAGGCTATGTCCCATTTCCATGCCTACAGGTAATCTACATCTGTTCTTGTCTACTCTCTGAATTTTATATTAACTTCTTCATCTCTAGTACCTAGTAACTTTTCTTGTTCCTGCCTATCCCCTTCAATCTCACTTATTAGCAAAATTAGTATTTTTAATGATTTTCCATGTGCTTCAGCAAACAAGTGAGAAAAGCAAGAATCTTTCATTAGTTCAGTTTTACAATATGCTGGTTAATTTTGTCAACTTGACACAAACCTGGAAAGAGGGAATCTTAATTTTAAAAAAGCCAGCATAAGGTTGGCCTGTAGGTAAGTCTATAGGGAGGGTACTGTCTTAGTGATTGACATGGGATGACCCAGCCCGCTATGGATTGTGTCTCTTCTCCCCTGGGCAGATGGTCCTGGGTTGTATAACAAAACAGGTTGAGCAAGCCAGTAAGCAATACTCCTTCATGGTATCTGCTTCAGTTTCTGCCTCTAGGATTCTGTCTTGAGTTCCTGCTATGATTTCCTTTGATGAACTGTGATATGACAGTGTATGATAAAATAAACCCTTTCCTTCCAAAGTTGTTTTGGTCAGTGTTTGCTCACAGCACGTAAAACTGACTATGACAGAAACGCTGAAAGAAAATCAAACTGCTTTTCCTCCTCGTCTTTTACTCAAGCAGCCAGTGCTCCCGTCCTCTTAAATTCATAACACTCAACCACGTAACATTCTACTTAAATGTAGGAATTTAAAAAGAGTAAAGATTTTCAACCTATATTTAAACAGAATAGACACTATACTACATACAAGTTAACACCATTACTAGCACTACCCATACTCACCATTTCATTGGGATGAACCAAAAACAAATAGATCCCTGGATATTTGTCAAACACCTGAAAGGAGCAATTGGTTTGTTCCATTCGACAAAGTGCTTCCACACACAGTTCATCTAAAGGGGGAAAAAGCAGTAAAGGGTTTAAATTGAGGCCCTAAAAACTGGCTCCTTGGGTATTTTTAAAATAAAAGTTACTCATTTTTTGAAACTAAGAAATTAAAAATGCTGATAGTGGAATTGTTGAAACAGTATTTACCTACTGATAGACTTTTTTTTTTTTTTTGAGGTACTAGAAATCAAATCCAGTTCCTGAGGTATACTAGGTAAACATACTGAGTTACATTCCAATTCTGATAGACTGTTCATTGTGATCATTCACGGAATAGTCCTCTTATTTTAAATTTGCTAAAACATGGGGCTGAAGAAATGATTCAGAGGCTACGAGCACTGACAGTTTTACCAGAGGACCCAGGCTCAATTCCCGGCACCCACATATCACCTCACAACTCTAGCTCCATTGGCAGGTGATCTGACACTCTCACGGAGACATATATTCAGACAAAACACCTATGCATATAAAATAAAATTTTAACATATATTTATATTTTGTATAATTATCTCTAAAGACTATCTTAGAAGCATGGCTATAGGTCCAGTGTCTTGCATTTGATATTTGATCCACCTAAACTGGAGTAAGAACAAAAGAGCTTCTCCTCCTAATAGCTAGTCATCTCAATTTCACATAGATCAACTAACTTCCTCTATGAGACTTTAAAGTCAATTTTATTTGTCAAGCTTCAAAAAACAGTATACTAGTAATAGTAGTTAGCTTTAAAGGGGGAATTATGACTGGATCAGTTTATAGGAAACTCCTGCAATACTGGAAATACACAAAAAGTATAAATAATCTTCAAGTTTACATACTTTTAAAGATTTTTAATTTTTTTTTTAAAAAAAATACTTATGTGTGGGACTAGAGAGATAGCTCAGCAGTTAAAAGCACTGGCTGCTCTTTCAGAGGACCCAGATTCAATTCCCAGCAGCCACATGGCAGTTCACACCTGTCTATAACTCCAGTGCCAGGGGATCCAACTCCCTCACACATACAGGCAAAATACCAATATACATAAAATATAAATTATAAAGAAAATATTTTGTGTATGAATATTTTACCTCTATGCATGTTTATGTACCACATACCTGCCTTGTGCCCATAGATCAGAAGGGGGTGGGGGTCAGATCCCCAAGATCTGGAGTTACTGACAGTTGTGAACTGCCATGTGGGTGTTGGAAACTGAACCTAGGTCCTCTGCAAGAGCAGCAAGTGCATTCAATTAAGCTGCTGAGCCATCTCTCCAGCCCTGGTATTATGAGTACACTATTCTTTAATAAATATTTAAGCGGCTGGAATGTTGACTCAGCTGATTACTCTTCCAGAGGACCTGGGATCAGATTCCAAGCACCCACAACGGTGGCTCACAACCATCTTAACTCCAGTTCCAAACATCCTCTTCTGGCTTCCTTGGGTACTTCCACATATGTGATATATAGATATAAATGCAGTCAAAACACTCAAAAATATTAAATGAAAATGATTAAAAGGCTTTCAGTTTATAATCTAGTTACTTGTAAATTAGCAATTTATCTAATCAAAAGCAGAGCTTGGTGGCACAGGCCTATAATCCCAGCCCTCCAAAGGTAGGTAAATCTCTCTAAGTTCAAGGCCAGAATGTTCTATATGGTGAGTACCAGGACAGCCAAGACTACAAAAGAGATAATCTGTCTCAAAAAGACAGTTGTTTTCTAATCAAATATTTGTATTTACTTTATACAGGACAAAGAAAATTAAATTGCATAAACTGTTTTATATTTCTAAAAAGTAACCATATGGTCTCAAGTAACACAGCAAAAAAAAAAAAACCAACAAAAACAAAACAAAACAAAACAAAACAAAAAAACAACCAAAAAAAGTTACAGAGGGGCCTGGTGGCATAAGCTTGTAATCCCAGCTACTGGGGAGGCTGAGGTGAAAGAACCAAAAATTCAAAGCCTGCCTAGGCTATAGAGTGAATTCAGGTCAGCCTGGGCAATTTAATAAGATCCTGTTAAGCAGGTTAGGGAAAAGGAGTAATTGCCTAGATATGCATGATCCTGGGTTCAGTCCCCATAATAGCACTACCACCACCTAAAAAAGTCAACTATTTTTGATTAAGGGAATAAATACAACCAAATTCAATATGCTGTCTTCTAGTCACTCTAAAACAAACTGGCCCCAATCCACATATATACTTATTGAGAATATATGAGCTAGATACTGGATTCCTAAAATGTTCTTTATACCTGGTAAATATGTTGGCCCACACCTCTAATCACAACTCAGGAGCCTAAGCTAGAGCTTTGATTTCAAGGTCATCCTAGCAAGAAAGGCAAATATATAAGACCCAAACTGGAACCACTACCACATGCCATGCCAACTAACTGATAAAAAGAAAAAAAACAACTGTGTCTTCTCTGTACTTTGGGAGGATCTCATACAACCAAGGCTGGCCTGGAAGTCTTTATGTGACCAAAGAAGACTTTCCTGTAGCCACCTTCCTAATAGTGGCATTACAAATACATACCTCAGCTGATTAGAGCAATGGTTCTCAACCTGTGGGTCTTAACCCCTTTGGGGGGTCACATATCAGATATCCTGCATATCAGATACTTAAATTAGGATTCATAATAGTAGCAAAAATACAGTTATGAAGTGACAACAAAATAATTTTATGGTTGGGAATCACTACAACATGAGGAACTGTATTAAAGAGTCAAAGCATCAGGAAAATTGAGAACCACTGGATTAGAAGCAACTGTTTTTCAGAGCTGTTGTGCCCCCTCCCCCTTAATAAGGAGCATTCAGCAACATCTGGAAATGCCTTTAATCCCAGCACTCGAGAGTCAGAAACAGGTGTATCTCTGTGAGTTTGAAGCCAGACTGGTCTACAGAGCGAGTTTCAGGAAGGCTCCAAAGCTACAAAGAAACCCTGTCTTAAAAAAAAAAAAAAAAAAAAATGTCTGAAGACATTTTTTGGTTGTGACAATAACAAGGCAGGGGAGAAAAAGGCTCCTGGCATGTAGTCGACAGAGGTTAAAACTGCTACTAACAATCCCACAAGGAATAGAAGAGTCCTGTGGAGAAACGAGCTGGTCTAAAAATGCTGTGGTGGTGGTGGTCTATGCCTTTGATCCTATCAATCAAGAAGCAGAGGCAGGAGGATCTCTGAGTTTGAGGCCAGCTTAGTCTCCAGAGTGAGTTCCAAAGTTCCAAGAACAGCCAGAGCTACACAGAGAACCCTGTCTAGGGAAGAAAAAAAAAAAAAAGATACTCACTAACACGCTCATGCAGAAGCAAGTAAGGATACTTCAGTATTTCAAAAAGAGGAACTCGAAGCTTATTTTCAAAATCTTGGCCACTACAGTCAAATAGCTGTTCCTCTCCATTGTTGTCGACTATATATAGTTCATCATCATCTTCAACTTCTGCCTTCATAGACTTCTCAAAGTGATTTATGAGGCGTAAGGTTTCTAGTTCCCATAAAACCTACAAAAGATGAAAACAGTGGTTTTTTTTTTAATGTAACAAAATATGCTGTGTAACAACCACTCCTATAAAAAGCCTTTTCCTCTGTGAACAAAAATTTAGAAGCAATGGTGGCACACGCCTTTATCCCAGCAGTAGGCAGAGGCAGGTCAATCTCTTGAGTTCTAGGCCAGCTTGGTCTACAGAACAAGTTCCAGGACAGCCAGGGTTACAGAGAGAAATCCTGTCTTGGGAAAAACCAAAATAAACAAACAAATAATTTATAAGTTTAAAGTAGCAGCTATCATATATCATACACACAGAGACATAACTTGGATCTAGTGCTTCAATTTCTACCACTATAACATTGAGATACATGAGTCTCATCCAATAAGATGTAAAAGTTGCTTCCATGATTTTAGTCCAAAAATACTACACATGCAAACAAACCCCCGAAATTTATTTTAAAAAGCAACAACAGTTAAAGAGTCACGATGTGGCTCAGCTGTTAGGTGCTGGCCTGAGAGGCATGAGACTCTGTGTTCCATTCTCAGCATAGATAGACTAGAATGTGGCAGGACTGAAATCAAATACTGGAGAGGTGGCAGCAAGAGGACCAGAAGCTCAAGGTTATCATCAGCTGCATAGGGAGTTTGAGGAGTGTGAGCTAGACACCCTATTTCAGGAGTTTCTCCTTAGCATCCACAACTTAACTATACAAGTTGGTAATAAGGCTTAGCTTTTAGCATGTCTTGGCTTTCACCATGCCTTCCTCACTAAGCACATCTAGCTTCTACCTGAGACAATGTGCTATTTTTCCTTTTACTTAAACACTTCAGGCCACTATAAGTGGCCTAATTTCAAAACTGTTATCTCAGGAATTAAGGAAGCCTAAGGAGAGGGAAAAGAGACAGGACATGCCCAGTCAATAAAGCAAGTAGGATTCACACATTTACTGATTACAGCACTCACTGCCTTACATGAATGAGTATGATTCATGGCCCTCCAAAGCAGTTACAACAGCAACATCAGTAATTGGTGATCACAAATCACCACAACATATAACAATCACAGAAATCTGCCTGCCTCAATCTTACCAAAAGCAATCTACAGGTTCAATGCAATGCCCATCAAAATCCCCGCAAAATTCTTAAGACCTCAAAAGAACGGTACTTAACTTCATATGAAAAAGCAAAAACCTGCCAGGCGGTGGAGGCGCAAGCCTTTAATCCCAGCAGGAGGATTCTCTGTGAGTTCAAGGCCAGCCTGGTCTATAAGAGCTAGTTCAAGGACAGGCTCCAAAAGCTACAGAGAAACCTTTTCTCAAAAAATTCAAAAAAAAAAAAAAAAAAAAAAAAGCAAAAAACCCAAAACAATCCTGTACAATAAAAGATTTTCTAGAGGCGTCATAATCCCTGACTTCAAACTCTACTACAGAGCTACAGTACTGAAAACAGCCTGGTATTGGCATAAAAACAGACAGGAGGACCAATGGAACCGAATAGAAGACCCGGATATCAATCTACTCATCTTCAAACACCTGATTTTTGATAAAGAAGCAAAAAATATTAAATGGAAAAAAGAAAGCATATTTAACAAGTAGTGCTGGCATAACTGGATATCAACATGTAGAAGAATGAAAATAGACCCATATCTACCACCACGCACAAAACTCAAGTCCAAATAGATCAAAGACCTCAACATAAAGCCAGCCACACTGAACCTTTATAGAAGAGAAAGTGGGAAGTACACTTGAACACATTAGCACAGGAGACCACTTCCTAAATAGAACCCCAGCAGCACAGACACTGAGAGAAACAATTAATAAATGGGACCTCCTGAAACTGAAAAGCTTCTGTGAAGCAAAGGACACGGTCAACAAGGCAAAATGACAGCCTACATAATGGGAAAAGATCTTCACCAACTCCACATCAAACAGAGGTCTGATCTCCAAAACATACAAAGAACTCAAGAAATTGGTCATCAAAAGAACAAATAATCCAATAAAAAAATGGAGTATAGACCTAAACAGAGAACTCTCAACAGAGGAGTCTAAAATGGTTGAAAGACACTTAAGCAAATGTCCAACATCCTAAGTCATCAGAAAAATGCAAATCAAAACAGATTCCATCTTACACCTATAAAAATGGCCACGATCAAAAACACTGATGACAACTTATGCTGGAGAGGTTGTGGGGAAAAGGGAACACTTCTGCATTGCTGGTGGGAATACAAGCTGGTACAGCCCCTTTGGATATCAGTGTGGCAATTTCTCAGAAAATTAGGAAACAACCTTCCTCAAGACCCAATACTACTACTTTTGGGTATATATCCAAAGGATGCTCAACCGTGCCACAAGAACATGTGCTCAACTATGTTCATAGAAGCATTGTTTATCATAGCCAGAACCTGGAAAAAATCTAAATGTCCCTCGACCAAAAACTGGATAAGGAAAACACGGTACATTTACACAATGGAGTACTACACAGCAGATAAAAAATAACGACAGCTTGAAATTTGCAGGCAAATGGATGGAGTTAGAAAACATCATATTGAGTGAGGTAACCCAGACCCAGAAAGATAATTATCATATGTACTCAAAAGTGGTTTTTAAACATAAAGCAAAGAAAACCAGCCTACAAATCACAATCCCAGAGAACTTAAGACAACAATGAGGACCCTAAGAGAGACAGACAGATCTAATCTACATGGGAAGTAGAAAAAGACAAGATCTCCTGAGTAAATTGGAAGCATGGGGACCTTGGGAGAGGGCTGAAGGGGAGGGGAGAGGCAGGGAGGGGAACAGGGAAAAATGTAGAGTTCAATAAAAATCAATTTAAAAAAAATGAAATCTGCCTGCCTCTGCCTCCAGGATTAAAGGCATGCATCACCATGCCTAGCCCTATACAAATTTTTTTAAGTCCCTAAACATGGGCCCTTTATAGCCTGAGTACTGAGAATGAGAGACTTAACACATCACCCTGCCATCGTGCTACACACATCTCAATATATCTACTAACTATAAGCTATTCCAAACTAAATGAGAAGAAACTGGTGCTTATTTGTCAAAGGCATAAAAGCAGGCCTTTCTCGTCTTATCCATGCCTGAAATAACAGTACTCAGGACACAAATGGATCAGAAGTTCAAGGTCATCCTTGGCTATGTAATAAGCACGAAGCCAGTCTTGGCTCAAGAGGTATGGGGGATACTTTTCCTTAAATATAAGTTTATACACAAAGACATCGAATAGTTTCAGCATAAAAATTAAGGATGGGGAGATGCTCAGTCAGTGAAGTGCTTTCCTTGCAAACTTGAGGACCTGAATTTAAATCTCCAGCACTCATATAAAAGCTGGGTGCACCCGCATGTGTCTGTAACCTGAGTGCCAGGATGAGACAGGTGAATCTCTGGAGCTTGCTGGCCAGCCAACCTACCAGTAAAGGGACCCTGTTTCAAAATATAAGATGGAGCTCAATCAAGGAAGACAGACAATACCAAACTCTGGCTTACACAGGCAAATATAGGAACAGAGGCAGGAATACATCACAGACATCAAAAACACTTTCCCATATATGGTACATCTACTATCTGTTCTTTATCAGATAAATGTAATAAACCTAACATACTTGCCTTTAGAGTTTATAAGTATCTCAATAAAAATGAAAACATTCTTTGCTTTTTGGAAACAGGGTCTAACCAGGTAGGCCTACAACTTGCAATTATCCTGCCCTACTTCCTGAGTGCAAGAAATGACTTTGTAAAACTGTTTTATGCCAAAATAACTACAACTGACATAAAACTGTACTTTTAAAGATTCAATTCAAGGGCATCAGTAAGTATTTACAGCAACTGTTATATACTAGGAAGTTAGGTACTAGAACTGTACTAGATTTCAAAGTTTTAGTCATACAGCATCATTTTCCTGAATGTGTTTAACAACTACACTTACGATTTCCTGGTTAGAATTTACTGCAAATTACCTCGTGCAAGAATGGCACCTCATCTCTGGCTCTGTGGTACTCAGCCACACACTCTAAGCAATAGCAGAGGTCTTCATCAGCTGTTTGAAATTCACTTGATCCAGTGCTAGATGCATAGCACTTTAGGACATCAACGGTGGAAGTACCACCTGGAGTACACCAACAGCATGTGCTCATTCTGTACCTGTAACAGGAAAATGAACACTCAAGACTTACTCTTTATGCAGAACAGACAGACTTTCTACTTGTGATCCAAGTCACCTAAAAAACTGTTTCCAGAGCCAAATGTTCTAATGGCCATCTTTTCAAAACTGATTAACCCCAAATATGAAAGCAGGGTAGGGGTGAAGCATAGTGGCAAGAGTACTTGTCCCACATGGAATCCCTGGGTTTGATTCCCAACATTAGCAAAAATTCTGAATACATTCTGTTAGTCACAACACTCACTAAGGGGTATGCCATTATGTGCCAAAATAGGTTCAAACTACACAGTACTGATGTAAAATCAGATAAAGACACAAATTAATATTTTCAAGCTACAGATTTTAGAGTCTCCCAATAACTTAAAAAGCTAAAATTTTTCATATTCCTAAAAAGCAGTTCTAGAAACTTCCAGAAATACATATAAATCTATACCAATAGTAAGACACAATAGTAAGAAATAGTAAGATTATTTCCTGTTATTTGACAAGATATAAACAAATTGCTGCTCTATACTCACTGCTCTTCAACCAACTATGAACTCCTAATAGTTACAAAAGGTCACAACCTATTGCTACCAAGTTTTTTATATACTCTCAACCATCCTTCACCATCCAAACTCCAATTTAAAGGGTTTTAAGATGATCTTCCAACTCCTAGCAGTCTCCAAAAAAAAAGTACCAAGAGTAAAAAGATTACCAAGAGGCATCAAAGCCAGTTTGAAGGCTCTCTAGAAGAAATATAATTTGTATAACTATAACTAAGTGTATATAAAAACAGAAAGTCCACTGTAGTAAATAGTGTACTGTGGTTGAATAAAAAGTATATCGTGTACCCTGATATGCAATAAATACATAGGTTAATGCAGGTAAAAATGAAGAATGAGCCTAGAGGATCCAGAACTGCCAGTCTATGAAAAAGCACATAGTTAAAGCTGAAAAAATTTGAACAGGATAAATAATATTGACTAGTAAGACAATAATAAATCAACACAATTCAATTATAGTAATACAAATAAGTGAAAAAATGAGAAAGAACATACCTAAGAACTTCAAGTACAATAGTTATTTTCTGTTGTAGGCAGTGGAGCTTAATCTTAGCCCCTCAGACTATGGGACTAGACTTTTTAGAAATTGCCTCCAAAAACCAGAATTTAGAAAGGGAAAACACACACACAAACTTTCTAATTTATGTAAACTATTAGCCAAATGAAGGAAAAATTTAAAAGCAAATTTCTTTAAATTCATCCCATAAACTCCATGACCGTAGTTCATGCATTCTGATCAGGTGGTAAAACTCTTAAGAGAAAAGCCAATCTGTGACAAAAGTTTACTCCTGTATAACAAAAATATATGCATGAGGGGGCTGGAGAGATGGCTCAGTGGTTAAGAGCATTGCCTGCTCTTCCAAAGCTCCTGAGTTCAATTCCCAGCAACCACATGGTGGCTCACAACCATCTGTAATGAGGTCTGGTGCCCTCTTCTGGCCTGCAGACATACAGACAGAATATTCTATCCATAATAAATAAATAAATGTTATATATATATATATATATATATATATATATATATGTATTATAGAAAGACTATATTTATTGGTGGGACTAAATTTTATGGAAAAAAGCAATTAGAAAAAAATGTTGGGCTGGTGAAATGGTTCAGTGGTTAAGAGCACTGGCTATTCTCCCAGAGGTCCTGAGTTCAATTCTCAGCAACCACATGGTGGCTCACAACCATCTGTAATGGGATCTGATGCCCTCCTCTGGCATAAAGTCACACATACAGATAGAGCACTCATATAGGTAAAATAAATCAAAGAAAGTTTTTGAGTCTCCTTTCACTGAGAAAGAGGAAATATCAAAGGATTGGAAAACTAATCAGAGTCACTGAATGTTTAGATATGGCCATCTGGCAGCAAGCGGGTTTTTAGTAAAGAACACTCTACAATGCATAGTCTATAATCTCTGCTATAAGAAATCATTAATAAGGCTTAGAGAGATGGCTCAGCAGTTAAGAGCACTGGCTGCTGCTCTTCCAAAAGTCCTGAGTTCAATTCCCAGCAGCCACTGGTGGCTCATAATCATTTATAGTGGGATCTGATCCTCACTTCTGGCATGCAGGCATACATGCAAATAGAGTACTCATACATATAAAATAAATTAAAAAACTAAAAACTGGTTATACCAGACTAACCCAGAAGGGGTAAAAAAAAAAAAAAAATTAATCGCCAAGTGGTGGTGCCATTGGCCTTGAATCCCAGCACTCAGGAGGCAGAGGCAAGGGAATCTACAAATCAAGTTCCAGGACAGCCAGAGATGTTACACAGAGAAACCCTGTCTCAAACCAAACCAAACCAAACCATTAATATAGCCAGGCCTTTAATCCCAGCACTTCTGTGGCAGAAACAAGCAGATCTCTGTGACTTCAAGGGGAGCAGAGTCTCAAAGTTGAGTTCCAGGACAGCCAAGGCTATGTAGAGACCCTGTCTTAAACAAAACAAAAACACCCTCATGATTAGAGGACCAGAGTTCGATTCCCAGCACCCATGTCAGGCAGCTCATAACTGCCTGTGGACTCCAGCTCCAAAGGATCTGACACCTCTGGCCTTGGCAGGGACATTTACTCTCCCTACACACATACATATAAACATAAAAAATAGTTACTTTTACACCTACTACAGAATATACTTTAAGTATACTTTCTTCACACTTCTAAACAATTTAGAGTAGCTCTAAACATTAAAATACAGATAGAAAACTTAAAGATGAGATTTCAAAAAGAAAAAATCTTATAACAACATGTTCCCCTACATTGATATTACTGCCACCCATTCCATTCCCAAAGCATTAACCTTATCATTATCATCACCTTGTTTTTTCCCTCTTGTTTTGCTTCATCAGTCCTAACATTTCTCCTTTCTTCTCAGTATCACTCAGTCTTGGTTCACTGTCATCATTTGTCTGAATTACTGAAGAAATTTCATCTCTCTGCCTCATCTGTCCAACCTCCAATTCTTCCTACAAAATGTTGCCTAGAGGTTACTGAACAAAGTAAGACTTCCAAAGCCAGTTTGGGGATAACATTCGTATCACTGAGTTCCATCCACACACAAGCCCTTATAACCTTGCTTCATTCTCTTGCTATTCCCATCTCCTACTATGGTGTCTGGCATTCCTTTAACTGAGGCTCGCCATCTGCCTTCAACAATCACTCTTCATACCAATACACACTTCTTATTAGGGAACGTAAGCTACCAAGTTGGTAATATAATGCACTCTACTAGTGATTCTGAAAGAACACCTGCTGAGACCAGTGTACCACACAACCTTGAATGCCAGCGATCTGGGAGTCCTGTCTCTTTTCCAGGGTCTTTGAGAAACTCCTATATCCACCTTTTTATTGCCTTCTTTCCTGATCAAGGTGGTTTGGTTTACTTGTCTGCAATTCAGTGTCAGGGCATGGAATTAATTCTGTATTTTTGTAATTCCAGTACTTGATACTTATCAAAAAAATAAAAAAGAAGTGATTATTTTAAAAAGACAATTACCTTAGCAGAAAGTCCTACAGAAGAGATCCTCTTTGTTGAGGCTTATTTATCCTGGGTTTATTTGTGAATAGACGAGGCTCTCTGCATTCAGATATACTCACACTTTGACCCCAAAAAAGAACATTTCTGAAATTAAAAATAAAATAAAACTGATAAAGCGCCCCTTACATTAAGCATTTCACCTGGGCTTTGCGTCAACCTTGCATTGTCACCTGGTGAGTTACCTCCATCAGGTTAGACAACACATCCGCAGACACTACAGTGCACTAAGGGGAACACTGTAACACTGATGCCCTCACTTGTCCAGGGGCTGCCCCCCAACCGGGATCCAGGTAGGCCCTCCTTTGATAGCGTCTGCCATGGGTGAGCGGGAGGCCGTCAGCACTGCCAACACCTGGGGTCGCAGGACGCGCGACCCGGTGCCTGTGCGGAAGCGACGCCAGGACAGAGGGCTACATCCCGCCGGCCCCTTCCCTGGAGAAGACCTCCCTCCTCCCGAGGCCCTGTTTAGAGCCCTTGCAGTGCATCGCAGCCCAGAGCCGGCGGCGCTGAAGCCAGACCGGCAGGGCTCCCGAGGCAGGCCTGGAGTGCGGAAAGCACCAAGCACTGCCCGCCCGAGGCCGCGCAGCTCTCGTCGCGCGCTGCTCTACGAAAAGAAGGGTTGGAGTGGCGCCCTACCCCGCGGGTCGCGCGCTTACCATCGGCAATATGCCGCGCGCCCCGCCTCGCGCACGCCTGTTCGCCCGCTCGTGGCCTGCCCGCCGCGCTTCTCGCCCGGCTCGGCCCCGTTCGGTCTCGCCGCAGCCTGCTAGCCCTCCTCCATGCCTCGGCCCCGACAACTAGCCGCTGGCGGAAGTGCTAGGCAGAACCTTGCGCCCAACCCGCTACCGCCGCGCGAGTGGGTACCGCCCCCATGCCACCCCAGCCACAGCCTTTTTGTTTTGGAACGCCAAGAGGGCGGGCCACGGGGAAAGCAACGGCGGGGAGCCACAGGCCTAGCAAAGGCCAGTGAGCTGCCGTCACTTCCGGGCTGAAGGGGGAAGTACAACCAATCAAGAGTTCCTGTCCAAAGAAGCCGTGAGTTAGCTGCGGTGCCGCGCCCCGCCCCGGACATTGCCCCGCCCTGGACTTTGCTCCATCTTGGCCTTTGCTCCGCCCCGAGCTTTGCCCCGCCCCGGACTTTGCCCCGCCCCAGACTTTGCCCCATCTTGGCCTTTGCTCCGCCCCCGGTCGGGTCTGACGTTTACTTACGTAGCTGCGGTCTCCCTTTGCCTCTCTTGCTTCCTAACGTCTGAGCCGCTGAAGGCGGCTTCTCTGTTAGAGACCAGACCTAGACAGTAAAATGTCTTGACGCAGAGAACAGCACTACTGTGAGCCACCAAGTTCAGGGCAGCTACACGGTTTAGTCCTTGTGTTTCCGACCCGTTAGAACAGGTCCCACTAACAGAAGACACGCAGTCACTCCAGAGTCCCCAGAGATAGCTGGTCCACCCACACCTCTCCCCTAAAAACCAGGAATTTAGTAAAAAAAAATCACTTTCTTAAGCCCAGCATGATGGTGAAATCATTTTACAACCGCAACGCGCCTGTAATCACAGCACTTAGAGGCTTGATGCCAGAGGACCCGGACCTGAATGCCAGCATCCTACAAAATGCGAATTCGAATTCGAGGCCTACATTACAGTCACCAAAAAAAATACTTATAAATTAAAAAAATCTAAATAAAGGGAGGTCAGAGGGTGTAAGGAGGTAACACGGGAGAGCACTTACCTAGCCTACTGCAGCACTGGGCTCCATCACCAGTGCCACAAATAACAAGGCAATAGGTAGCAGGTGGGTCAAAGACCGTCCTACCCCTGAAGAACCTTAAGGCAGAATGAGAAATCCGCCTGAAAAGCATGGTGGTAGGACTCTAAGGAACGTTCCAGAAAGGGGGCGTGGTTTAAAGTCAGCAAATGACCGTTAGGGGCTTAGGCCAATCAGGAAGCAGCACGAGGCTGACTGTTATCTTCTTGCTTTAAGGGTTTTTTTTTTCGTTTTGTCAAAGATTTCTATCAAAATTAAATTTTAAAAAAAAGGTTTCAAATTAAAAGTATTATGTGTATGCATGGTTTTTAAAATACCATATTTATATGATACTTTTTTTTAAAAAAAGGCTCCGAATGAGGGGAATTTCCAGAAATGAGGGGAAATGAGATGATAGGAACTAGCCAACTATTCATGTACCCGATGATACAGATCCTTTCAGAATTCATTACACAGATTTTAGATTTCAGCTAAATACCATGTTGTTTTAATCATGAAAGTACATAAATGCTAAGTTACTCATTGAGCACGAGAAACATTAGTCTGTGCCTAGAGAGATGACTCAGTGATTAAGAGCACTGGCTGTTCTTCCAGAGGACTCAGGTTCAATTCCCAGCACCCACAAGGCCGCCCACAGCTGTCTATAACTCCATCTTCAGGATACCTGACACCCTCATGCAGGCAAAACACCAATGTACATAAATTAAAAAAGAAAAAAAGAAGAAGAAAATTGGTCTGGGCAGGCAGTGTTGGCACTTGGAGAAAAAAAAATCCTAGCACTTGGGAGGCAGGCAGAGCTCTGTGAGTTTGAGGCCAGCCTGGACAGCCAGTACTGTTTCATAGAGAAACCCTGTCTCAAAACACCAAAAAGGAAAAAAAAAAAACCTAAAAACGTAGTCTTTCAGAGGACCCAAGTTCATTTCCTGTTATCAGCTTTGCAGCTTACAGCTGTCTGCATCTCCAGTCCTAGGCAATCAGAACAGATGTCCTCTTCATGCCTCCTCAGACCCTGTTCCTTAAGTGGGACACATACACAGAAAGATAAAATGAAAAGAGAAAATACTCATAATTCTGAACACAGTAGCTTATGCTTAGGGACACCCCAGGCTAGTTACAAGGAGCACAAAATGTTTTGTCATATGGAATCAGGACCAGAAAGTTCTAGGCTGGTGAAGATGTCTTCCATGTACCAGTTTTTTTGTCTTTACACCGACAGTCATAAAACATGATTTTTACTGCTTTTTCTGTGGTTGAAAATGAAGTCAAATATTTCCTGCAGCCCACAAAAATGTCTCTGAAGCCCCTGTGACTCCTTACAATCTTTCAAACCTTTTATTTTTTTACAATTTATATTATGATCTTAAGTGCCTCGGTGTTTTGCCTGTAGGTATGTCCATGTGAGGGAGCCAGATCCCCTAGGATGGAGTTATAGACCGTTGTGAGCTGCCATATGGGTGCTGGGAATTGAACTCGGGTCCTCTGGAAGAGCAGCCAGTGCTCTTAACCTCTAAGCCAGCTCTCCAGTCCCCCACCCTTGTTTTTTCTATAAGCAATATAAGTCTAACAAACTTTTATGTATAATTGGATTTTACCCTTAATCGTAGCACTTGGGAGATGGAGGCAGATTACCAGGTGTTCCAAGCAAGCTGGGGCTATAGAGTGAATTCCAAGCCAGGTAGGATGCAGAGTGAGACCTTATCTCAAAGAGCCAAATAGGAGTTTGGAGTTGGCCAGATGCCCCAGTCCCACAGAGACGATTCATGCTGCTCTCTCTCTTTGGCCAGAGAAGCTTCTTCTTGCTGTGGGTAGCAGTTAATGCAGAGACTCAGAACTGGCCAATGTGCCCAGTATGAGTGAGTACTCAGATGTAGGGAGTCAGCTACATCGACCTCCCACTAGCCAAGGCTCAAAGAAGGCAGAAAGAGTGTAAGAACCAGCAGGTGGGCAGGAGAGCTGTGAACTGGACATGGCATGACTGGTGCATAAATGAGATCCCGGCATTTGTGGTTACCAGCACATCAAGCCAGTCAAAATTCCAGCACTGGTGGGGGAGGGGAGGGACCCCAAGGTCCCAACCCTATCAGATAAGCTATTGGCAGTTGATGGCAGTTGAAGGAGGGAAGAGTTACTCTCCTTTGGGGAAATGTGACAGCTAGGAGTGGCTGTCACACAACACACACACACACACACACACACACACACACACACACACATGGGCATGTGGGTAGCTCTAACTGAACTCAGGGGATGATTGATAACAACAAATAAAAATAAATAAGATATGAAGCTAGGGGAGTTGAAGGAAGAAATATCAATATGCATTATGTAAAGTTCTTGGAAAATAAAATAAATTATTTTGCAGCTAAATACAGTTAACCCTAAGGAGTAAAGAGCCCAAACCATGCTAATCCCAAAGATGCAAGGAGAATGACCACCAACCCAAACCACCATGGCCAAATTAATTAAAGCAAGCAATTAGTTAATGCAAGCATTTTTTGTTGTGTACACGAGCTGCCTCCCCTAAAGCAGTGCTCAAGAGGTCAGCGTTGGACATAGGCAAGGTGAGGTTTTTCCTAGACCAGGAATAAGGGGTTTCCAAATGGGATTTGGCAGACAAATAGATGGGGTTATAGAGGCAGAACATAAAAAGCTGATCGCAACAACAGTTGCTTAGAATAACCTTTGGAAGCAAACGTAGGGTTGCATGATGGTCACAAACAAAGATGGTTTTAAAACAAACCATCCTGGTTGCTGTTTCCTGGAACAGGCAATAGTTGAGGATATAGGTAGGACATAGCCCAGTCTTTGAAGACCAGGGATAATCATAAACAGGAGTGAACCTAGTTTGCTTTTATTATAAGATGGCGTTAAAGCCCAGGCTGGCTCATCACAACCAAAGATCTGTAAATGGAAAATTGTTTTGTTTGCTTGGGGACTGGCTTGAGCATTCACTAGAGAGCTTCCAATGGCTTTGAACTCTCAGCAGTCACCCTGCCCCCAGCTTGCTTGGACTAAGGTCTGGGACAGCCTGTTGCTACTTGCCACCATCGTCCATCAGCACTATCCTGCAAAGGGCTTGGAGAAGACCAGTGCACAGAGATACATGGGCAGCTGCTGATGGGTAGCTGCTGCCAGGGGGCTGGCATTGGCATCAAACGTCGTCCAGTCTAGCCCAGAACTTGCTGTGTATCAGAGGAAAACCTCCTGCCTCGACCTCCCAAGTGCTGGGATTATAAGTATGTATATCACCATGCCTGGTTTATTCAGTGTTGGGGATCAAGCCTAGGTCCTGACTCATTCTAGGAACAAACTCTACCAACTGAGCTACATGATCAGCCTAGAATTCTCATTCTTAGATGCATATTATGGGGTTTTGTTGTTATTGTTTGTTTTTATTTTATGTGTACCTGTGCAATGTCCAGCAGAGGACTTTGGATTCCCTGGACTAGAGTTACTAAACCAAAAGGGTTTTTGTGTTTTTTAAGACTTATGTTTTTATTATGAATACAGGTTTTATTATTTTATTATTATGTGTAGTGTTCTGCCTGCATGTATGCCTGCAGGCCAGAAGAAGGCATCAGATCTCATTACAGATGGTTGTGAGCCACCATGTGGTTGCTGGGATTTGAACTCAGGACCTTTGGAAGAGCAGTCAGTGATCTTAACCTCTGAGCCATCTCTCCAGGCCATGAATACAGTTTTATTATGAATACAGAATAGGGCACCAGTTCTCATTACAGATGGTTGTGAGCCATCATGGTTGTTGGGAATTGAACTCAAGACCTCTGGAAGAGCAGTCAGTGATCTTAACCTCTGAGTCATTTCTCCAGCCCAGCCAAGAGGTTTTTAATGGCAAAACCACATCCTGGTATCTCATTCTGCAGCTTGGGGGTGGGGTGGAAGAGGTGACATTTGCACAAGCAGGTAGATTAACAGAAGCTAAGGAAATCAGTTAGCCGGACAAGGTTCTGCTTGAGAAACTAGAATAAATTAGCTAGGGCATCTTGACCTTAAGCTCCTAGAATAGAAGTGAGTAATTTTCCACAGGATTCTCCATCAAGGAGATCAAATTCTAGTTAAGTCTGAAATGGCCTCAG